GGGATAAGCTTCCTTTCCTCAACATAGTTTGAGATGGCACCAAGAAACAGCTGTTCCATCATCTTTCCAGGGATGGAGGTGAGGCTGACCAGCCTATAGTTACCCGTGTCCTCCTTCTTGTATTTTTAGAAGACTGGCGTAACATTAGCTTTCCTCCAGTCCTCAGGTACCTCTCCTGTTCTCCCAGACTTGTCAGAGATTGTGGAGAGTGACTTAGCAATGACTTCCGCCAGCTCCCTCAGCACTCGTGGGTGCATCCCACCAGGGCCCATGGATCTGTGGATGTTCAGTTTGCTTAACTGATCTCTAACCCAATCCTCTTTGACTGAGACAAAACCTTCCTTTCTCCTGACTTCCTCTACGGTTTTCAAGCTTTGGGACTCCTGAGGGCTGATCTTAGCAGTAAAGACCGAGGCAAAGGTGGCATTCAGTAACTCCGCCTTCTCCATATCCTCGGTCACCAAGGCACCCACTTCATTCAGCAGTGGGCCCTGACTTCCTCCAGTCTTCATTCTTCCTCCAATGTACTTGAAAAAGCCTTTCTTGTTGTCCTTGACCTCCCTTGCCAGGTTTAGTTCTAAGGAGGCCTTAGCTTTCATTACTGCATCCCTACATTCTCTGACAACATTCTTGTATTCCTCCCAAGTGGTCAGCCCCTTCTTCCATGCTCTATATACTTCCTTCTTCTGCTTAAGTTTATTCATTAGCTCCCTGTTTATCCATGCAGGTCTCCTAGCTCTATTACTAGATTTTTTTATTCTTTGGGATGCCCCGGTCTTGAACTTGGAGTAAATGGCACTTGAATATTAACCAGCTCTCTTGGGCTCCCCTACCATCTAAAGCCCTGTCCCACAGGACTTCTCCAAGCAGGTCCTTGAAGAGGCCAAAGTTAGCCCTTCTGAAATCTAAGGTAGCGATCCTGCTTGTGGCTCTGTGCTTGCTGCATCTGATCCTGAACTCCATCATCTCATGGTCACTACATCCAAGGCTGCCCCCTACCTTCACCTCCTCGATTTATCAGCACAAGGTCCAGCACTACTCCTCTCCTTGTCAGCTGCTCCACCATCTGCGTCAAGAAGTTACTGTCAATGCACTGGAGGAGCCTCCTGGACTGTGCATGCCTGGCTGAGCAGCTTTTCCAGCCAATGTCAGGGTAACTGAAGTCCCCCATGACAACTAGAGCTTGTGACTGTGAGGCTACTTCCAGCTGCCTGTAGAAGGCCTCATCAGCTTCCTCATCCTGATCAGGTGGCCTGTAGTAAACAGCCACAACAGTCGAAGATGTGTACTGTGTTAATAGTACTACAATTACTCCTTTTTTTTTTTAGTTAATACTTGGAAGAGGCTTGGAGTTTAAACACATTTTTAAGCTACTAGAGTTGATTTACTGAGATTTTTGAAGTTTATTTGGTTTCTTTTGCTGACTCTAAACCCCTGCTGTGCCCACTTTTTCTATACAGCACAGAAGGTCACACCTGGAAAATGAAGGGGGAGGATTTTGTTCTAATCCATCTTTTACTACATTCTGTGATTGCAATCTTTGCTCTGATGATTCAAAGTAATTAGAACAGGTTGGTTTGTTTGCATGGACCTTGGCAATACAGTGACATTCTTACCTCCCATGAAGGCAGCAATAGCATGTGGTT